CTTCTTTTTTCTCTTTTACCAGTTTCTGGAGCAAATTCAGTTTGCTTTCCTGGATTTGTAAACTGTAATGACCTCAAAGCTTTAGCAGTTCTTCCCTGAATAAAGGTAAACAAATTATCAACTCAAATCTTGACATCACACAATAAGTAAATCTTATACTTAATGTTAATCCAGGTTACTCCTTAAACTGGAAGATAGTCTGGAATACATTAAGAAAATAAGGTTTTAGAGTCCTAGTGCAAGAAAATTTGCATGGCCCTGAACCACACTCAAAGCTTATTGGTTCATTTATTAACAACATTTCCATTATTTGATTTTACTTTCTGGTGGAGCAGGAGCAGAGGAGGACAGGCATGGTGAAAACTGTAATTGCTGCCACCATGAGAAAGGCAGCAGAAAACTGCTATATAACCCTACCACACATAACAATCCTGGGTCCTTAAGAAAGGGTTCTATTATTATATTCTATGTATTTTTAAAAGCAAAGAAGTAATATAGTTTTAAGTTCTGAAATGGTATTATAATCTTCTTAAAAAGCATTGGTAAAACAAAATTTTGGTGCTTAAGAGTTTAAGTTTTTTATTTTGGGGAGGGAACCAAAGAGCACAAGGGCAATGGTTAGATAGGTGAAGACACTTAGAGTGACAGCACCAGCCAAGTATTCTAATATAAACTGCAGAAAACACTGGGTCCTGGAGATTAGCCTCTGTGAGGGCAACAAAAGGAAAATACTAGATATGACTTAAAATGTTCATTATCTTTTAATTTGGTTTATTAATAAGGAGAAAATTGAGAAAGATATTCCAATAGCAAGAATAATGAAACGGTAAGTAAAAATTTTGAAAAGAGCTCCTTTGACATACTTGACCTTGTTCTATACCAAACACTGCTTTATGAAATCTTAAATTGTTCTGATATGGTTAAATAATCTGCATAGGCAGGTGAATAAGGGAGACAGGTATAAAATATTTAATGCTTTACAATGTAAAAATGTATGCTTTTTGACCACAGTGAGTTCTAAAATTAGCAATGACCCTAGCAAGTAAGAATTCAGAGCTAGAACCGAAGAAAACTCACAAGCATTTAAGAAATTCAAACAAGAATGGAATAGTGTTGAAGGAGAAAGATTGATATAAAAAACAATTATTACAAGTCACTTCTCTGATGTTCTTTTTAAATCAGTTATTTCTATATCCTTCATAAAACAGGGAATTCATACTGCTATAAAGACCCTTGCTGGCTGGCATGTCCCACGATTACTTTGGTATCAGAATCTAAATCTTGACTTTGCCAGAATGTTCTAAAAGCCACTCCTAATTTCTTAGTACTATAAGTTGCAGGTTGGAGTCTTGGGTATACTGTATCATTCCTTCCCTAGGTCTCCTTTATCACCCAGTCTTGACCTTGGGTATATGGAAAAATTCAGAAACACCATTTACTTTTGCTTCCCCAACTTTAAATTCACTATATGCTGATGAATAAATAAATATGATTTCTTTTATAGTTTAATAAAATCTCACATTGTAGAAGTCACATAGTAGGAAAAAAGGGCTATTATACATACATCTGATTCAGGTTTTCTTCTCTGGCGGTCCTCAGCATCAACATCCACACTTCCATTGATTATCTGTGTACACTTTGGACAAAGCTTCCAACCA